CACACCACACACAGTTCTTCTGATGGAGCTGTGTGTTTAAGGCAAATTGGGAACTAGAACTTTAGGAAATGAAAGTTGAATGTTTTTCAATGTTGCTTTTAATATCCACCAGAGGGTGCTGTTATAGAAGGGTAATGCTTATGGTTATATATTTACTGTGATCAATTGATGTCTAATACCTTGTAGAAATTATTTGATAAAGTTGTAAATAAAAGATTATTGGAGTATGTTTTACAAGAAAATCCTAATTCAGCTTTTCCACTTCAAAGTCTCATGTTATGTCTTTGTGATTGTGAAATTTACCAGAATATTCTGAGTTAAAATTGATTCTGCTATACTGTAGTTGGGTAATCTCTGCATTAACGCTCATGTGATTGTGGTCTGCTTGTTTTGAAGCTTTTGGAGCTGTGCAGATCGGTGAAGGATGATGCGCTGAAGGTGGTCGATGACTTCAACATCCCGTCCTGCTGCATCCAGGCCCCTATCGCTGGAGTCGCCAATCCCAGGGCCGAATGGGCCTTCTACCCACAGCCACAGTATCCCAGCAGCACCCAACCTCTGTCAAAGCTCTGAATGAGAGAATAAGCATGGCTTTATGAGGATGTGGAAGAACAATTAAGTGATTTCAGGTTGCTGGTCTCAATGGTTTCCATTTTCTTTCACATTGGTTGGGAGAGATTAAGGACTAATTGGAGGTGGTCAATGCACTTACGAATGCATAGCTGACGTTTAATGATTAAGCATCATGCTTTGTGCCAAGAAGAATGGTAGAACTTGCCAAGGCCTTAAGAAAATGGCATATACTCTAGGCACAACACTACATTTTCTTGTTCACTCTTAAAAATAAAGGTTCCAAAGGGGTGCGTTCGCAACAATGCCATAGAAGAACCAATTTGGGGTTCCACAAAGAACCTTTCGGTGAATGATTCTTTAAAGAACCATTTGTTAGTGTGAAGAACATCTAAAGAACCTTATTTAACATTCAAATAACTTTTGTCCAATAGAAAAAACCTTCCTTGAAATGTTAAAGATTCTTCTTGGAACCAAAGATGCCAATAAAGAAGCTTTCATTGAACATCTCTTAACCATTTTTCCTTAGTGTGAAGAGCATCTAAAGAACCTTATTGCACTATAAACAGCCTACTGTCCAATGGGAAAGTTCCATGGATGTTAAGAGTTCTTCAGAGAACCATCAATAAAGAACCTTTATTTTTAAGAGTGTATGTAGAAGGGAATTTCAGTTATACGAGTTGCACATTATGTCTATCATACAATATGTTTTCTTAAATTCTTCAGAGATTTTATCTGAATTGATTTCAAATAAACACCAGCCAAGCATCTCGCATTTACAGAGGAGCCCCGATAGCCTGGATCTGAGCTATAACAGCATAAAGAAGTGCCAAAAGGTAGTGCAAAAAGCCCAAAAAGAAGTTAAAGAAGTGCAAACGCCCAAATGTAATTAGTCATCAGTCAACACACAGTTAATGAATATTTATGCAATTGTACATACATTGAGTAACAGTAAGTGCACTACAATGTTGGACAGACAATAATATATTACTGCAGCTATAGTTTTTAATGCTACTATCAACTGCCATAATTTGACCTTTATTTAAAAGGTAAACAATTCGATCACAGGTTCTAATGTAGTTCAAATCTGCTCAGTCTGGGTCTTGGATGGATGTCCTTTTATGTCATTGCTGTACACTAAGTTTGGACCAAACTACCAATTGTCTTATTCAAGTTTTCTTTTCACAAAAAAAAAAACATCAGTTTGTTATTAAAGTCCGCAAAGAACAGCAACATGGAAGTTCCTTAATGTTCTGCAAAAAAATTAAAAATAAGTTGCATTCCCTTATATTTCCAGATTTTCTGCACTCGTCAATGTAAACTAATGGAAGACTGGATATATTTAGAGCTATTTTCTTAATCGTCTTTGTGTGTAAAAGGTGCATGTTGTCATATTGTGCCACAAACTGGATAATTTAATTAATAACAAAATAAAATGCATACCAAATACTTGTATTGCAAGCGTAAACCTAGCTTGTATTGCATGCAGAAACATTACATTGTTTCAAAACGCCCATGCGTCACTTGTGACTTGTGAAAAAACATTATTCAACCAGACTGTACATGAAATATACCACACAAGAGACTAGCCCGTGCAAAAGAAGAGCTATAGTGCTTTTGTTCTAGTTTAATCTAAAGTGTTTGTGTACATTTGGAGCCTAATGGTGTGGTTTGACCATTACAAGCCCATCCCATGTGGGGCGTGGCTTCTCAGCTTTACTGCAAGGGTTTGCTTCAGTGAATAGACAGCAGAACAGCTCGCTCACTCTGCGCAGCAGACACAAGAGAGTGAGCCTCGGCGAGGAAGTGCACTTTAAGAAGACACCGAGACAAAAGAGAGACCATTCAGAACAATCCTGTGGACATTTTTCAAACAGGATCTTACATGACAGCTGCTCTAAGGGGAACAAATACATCGAGAGATTTAGAACCATCGATTGCCTGCTACTGGAATTGTGCTTTTTATTATTATTAATTTTTTTTACATCTGGATATTTCGACATTTTCCCTTCGTTTTGCTGTCTTTATCGCTCAGATGATGCGCTAACGCGTTTATGCCGCTGCGGATATGTCCGACACGTCCAGGTGAGTTCATACGCGCGGATCTTACCGTATACCGGCTTTCTTTAGGACAACTTTGCACTTTTCCCTTTTTTGCACAATATTGTAAATCAAAAAATATTGGATTATACGTTATTAATAAACGCGTTTTAACATGTGATCGCCGTGATTTAAAACCCATGAAAGGGTTTCGTAAAATCGGGTTATTAATTGGTTTATTTGTCAAGATCACCCTCGTGCTGGTATTTTATTCTAGCGAAGCATAACGCGCAAAACACAAAGTTGCGCGCGCGGCGTCGAGGGAGAAAAAAGTGAAACTTCAGATGCTTTACGCAAACAATGTCGCAAAGACAACACAAGTTGAGATGTGGTAGAGGAGTCGAATCCACTAAAATGCCTATACCTGTTGACATTTAACCAGAGTGAACAATTTAACAGTTTTGCAATGGATAACGACAGGCACCTGTTTGCTTTTTCCGCTATTCACCGAAAACAAGTCAAAATACGACGAAACCCGCGGTGGTTGTTGTTCTACAGTTCTACGCCAGGCGATACCCTGCGAGTGTAAAAGATAGCCTGATATTTCTTTATGCGTTTTATTTACATATCTGTCGCCGTTTTGGCATATCGGCACGATTGACAAAGCTGAGCTGGCTTACGGAGAACCACGGGATGTGTTTTCATTTTTAAAAGCGCGACATAATAAGCCTCTCCAGACCCGAACGATGAAACAAACAACGCGGAACGCTTGTAGATTCCTCTACAGCGCGAGTTCGAAGTGCCGCGTGCAGTATTCGGCGCGATCGCCTCGCGCGTTATCGACTTCTATCCCACAATGTCGACTGCTTTGAGGTAAGGAAGAAATAGGAAGTTGAAGTGGAGCTCGTTTGTGACGCACTTCACCGGGTTACTAACTTACTTGTAGCGTTCCCTGCAGCTGAGTTTCCAAACGCGTGCAAAATCGGCTGGAAGTTCAAAACTGCCTGCCAAACAACCCACACAACTCCTCTTCGAAACGCTTGCAAACGACAGTAATGAGTGTTTTGTTTGTTCAGCAGAGAGCAAACGCCGGGCCGGGGAAGCGGAGAGAGCGCCGGTGGCGCAGCCGTCTTAGGCTCCGGGCACTTTGACTTCCCTCAGCCGAGCGATGGGGACCCGTTAAGGGGAGGGATTGCCATGTCGAGTAGTCACCAGTCGAGGTCACCGATGTGCCGGACCTTCTCCAGGTCCTCTAGTGGCTATTTTTCCGTCGACAGCGATTCTGTGCCAGGTTCCCCGCTAATGCCCAATATTTCCGAAGCGCAAGACGGCCCAAATGATGGTAAGAGAGCCCCCTGGAAGAAAAAAGGCCCGATTTTGTGGTGTGTGTAAACACGACACTGACGCGACGAACAGCGAGGCATCATAACCGTTTTCTTTCAGCGGATTAGACCGTTAAGAATTGGATTATTTCAAATTTCCCGCCCTGATCGCACGCGCGCTCTTCTATATTTTGACCAACATGTCATGACGAATTTAATAATCTATCTATCTATATATATATATATTGATCATTTTATGGCTATTAAAGTAAATAATCCGTTAAATTATCCATTTTAATGCTATCTAAAACCAGGCTTTATTCCCAAGGGGCGATTTGGTTTTGGGCCCCCGGGGGTCGGTGGACAGATATATAAAATACATTTTCTTTAAAAGTATTTCTATATTAGTTCAAGTGTAATACATTTGTTTTATGTTAAGCATTATATAAAGTTTGTTAAAACGAATCAAAAGACATTAGACATTGTTGGCAAAGAAAATCTAGCCATTCGCCTATTAGGGGTCTGTATTGGGGAGGGGGGGGGGTCCCTGAGTCTGTAAAGTAAAAACATTTTAAAAACTCACACAGTGACAGATTGTACAGGTGAAGTAAAGGTGCGTAAAAATGTTAATATAGCCACATCTCACGGTTTATGAATGTCATGCATTTAAGTGCTTTGGATGTTTAACTCGGCGCTCAGTTTTCCACATTAGCGCAGCGATAAGCATAATGTTTTGATGCTTGGCAGTGCACTTGTCTCGACAATCTCTCCCAGAAAGCATGTTCTTCTCATTTAGAAGCAGCACAGATCTGCCTAAAGCCAAGTCGACTCATTTGTCTTTGTGTTAGCTGCTCTAAAAGAAGCAACCTGCATTTCCTCTCTGTTAACATCAGACTGTTCACTGCATTATGCATTCTGAAGCATGTGCTTGCACGTGCAAGAAGCTACTGCTCAGTTCATTCACAATATCTTGCAAACCCGGTGCACCTGAGACGCATGACCACAGCGTGTGACCCATCTTCTCATAATGCCTCAGATGGAGTTGGCTGATTTGCCCATTGTCTTCTTGTTTACCTTCACTGTCACCGAGGCCTCAAGAAAGCGGTCGGAGAATCGGCCTTAGAGCATGCAGTCAAAATAGACTAGCCTGTCTTTTGTGAAGGCTAGACATGAGATCCAACCATCTCTGTTTTCCCTATTGAGAGCCAGGAGATATGAGATGGCGATAATTGTCTTCCTGTAGCCACTCTTAATGGCAAAGACAAACAACGATAAGTTATCAGGGCTCTCATCTGTTGCTCGCTCGACAGGAGAGTTCCTCTACCAGTGGCCTCTTGTTTATACCTTTAGCTGCTGCGTTGTGTTGGCACAAGGTCTTGAATTTACACATATGAACTCAGTGCCCTTTGTGCTCACCTCTTGTGGGTCAGAGGTGCTATTCTGTCCAAAGATAAATGAAGATGCGGTGATAAACAAACCCAGAACTGAGCACACAGTCATCTGAGCACTGCAATATTGATATAAATGTCCTCATTTGAAATGTTGTTGTTGGCTTTGTGTGGTAAAGGCCCGATAGAATGAGGTTAAAGTGTTGACTAAAGCTTTGAGATATTGGCTGGTTCAGTTCGTACAGGTCTAGCGGAGTTGTGAAAGGAAATGAATATCCAATGGTCCTAATATGATTGAGCACGAGAAAAAACAGTCAAACTGCTTCTCGCTTGAGTCATAGCGCGAGATCAATTTGAGTTCAAACAGAATTTGGGTGATATTAGTGTTTAGCCTCATAATAACCTCTGTGGTTCAGCTACTGTCTTACAACCGACAGAAGGTGTAACTTTAGCACAGTTGGCAAATATTTAATCATGATCGTGGCTGTGGAAAAACCAAACCAGAGGTTTGCAGAGGAGGCTGTTTGCACCAGACGATGCTATGCGATATACAAG